TTTTGAAAACCTATTCTAAATAATGGTATGAATGACAAATATATATCATTCAATTGTTGAATTTTTTAACATATGTTACATTGTAACTTGAACGTTTTATTATTTAAATCGAAACCATTAGTCTAAAAGTACAAATCTCCTTGCATCGAAAATATTTAAGAACGAAAGTACAAAGAACATAAACTATCAATAGTTATGAAAACAATTAGCGCATCAGTTTTTAACGTATAAAAAAATAATTTTAGTTAGATTTTATACGTTTTTAACGCTAAAGGTATGGTGTCCAATGTCGCGATCTACCGTTTATTTGCGTTTCCCATTGACTGGTGTCCTACTCGGGAATGCAACGTGCGACAGATAATTTATCGTCGTGATCTGCGACAGTAACGTAACAGGAGCAGTGTAGCGCGACCCGTCGCTGGCGTCAATATTTCGACTATAGTATTTTCTTCACAAAAAGATTATTTTTTTTTTACTTTTATTGATTTGATTATTTTACTTTTTATTAAATTTGTGCGTAAATATCCAGAGCTATGCACATGTGATTATATTGTGATTATTATTCGTTGTTGTTGGTTGTCCTTCTTTGTAATCGTAAAATAGTTGATTATTTTTTTCTATGTAACCATTTCTCAACATATTTTGCAAGCAACACGCTATCTAAATTAAATTCTCACAAGTTGATGCATCTAAATTTATCGGTTGATACAACACTCTAAAAATTTGGCTCTATTATTATTACCAAAAACATTTTCAGTGACTCTTCTTGCTCAACTTAGTCTATAATTGAAAATGGTTTTTGTTACATCGTCTCTACTAGCTTTCGTTGTATTGGGCTTCATCATATGCTTCATGCTTATACAGCTTGAACGCTTTATCACCAACGATTACGTGGAGTACGACTATACTAAACTCAGGTAATGTAGAATTTTTCGGAAAACCAAATGATTTGTTCAAAACTTGTTTGCCCATAGTTGATTTTAGGAAAATGCCACTATAATCTTCTTTTCTATAAGAGCATATATCTACTACTATACATTTTTAGTTTGCATCGACCATTACTAATAACTAGAGCTTGGATGATGATGCATTTCGCATTTTTTTTTTCAAACTTTTTAGAAGATGCTTTCCTGGCCACAAATGTGTTTCATTAGCATGTGAATCCAAATAACTAATTTTTATTTATCGTTTTTTTGCATTTTTGATGTTCTTTACTTTTCAAGTCATTTTTTGACATTTTAAGGTAATTTTTCCATATTTTTAGTCATTTTTAATGATTTCGTACTAGTTCATTTTTTATTGTTTCTTATCGACCATTATGCTAATAATTTAAGACTTTTCCGAATATATTTCGTCGATTACATTTGTCATTTATTTCGTCGTTGTCATGTTGTAGTGAATAGTATTATACCTAAATTTTATTATTTTTTCCTAATATTTGATTAGTATCCGATATTATCTTGTCGCTTCATTATCATGTTATAGTGAATAATACCTATTATATCTAAATTTTATTATTTTTTTGTAATATTTTCGAAATGGTGAAAATTAAAACGTCGGTTAGTGCTTGTCTGCGTCTCCCAATCACTTCGGTGGACGTGGAGAGAAATTTTCCCAAATATAAATATTTATAAACGCATAATCGTCATTTATTTACTTATGATAACATCAAATGCGAACTAATCATACAATGCAATTATTTTGATTTTTGAGTAATTTGTAAGCTTTGATAAATTTATAAAACAAATGTTTGTCATTTTTTTATTTCATATTTTAAGGACATTTGTTGTCATTTTTATGTCATATTTTGAGTAATTTGTAAGTTTTGATAAATTTATATGGAATGTTATAGTAAAATAGTATAAAATATTAAAAAAAAAATGTATTTTTATCAATTTAAAACAAATATTTGTAATTATTTAGGTCATTTTTTTAAGGACATTCTTTGTCATTTTTATGTCATATTTGCATCTTTTTTTAGGTCATTTTTTAATGATTTTAAGGTCATCAACTTTCGAACCCTATTAATAACACAATGGAAAAGAAGTCCTAATAATTATGAAAAAATTTCCAGAATTTTTTAACTACGTATGTGTTTATGTTTCCCGTCAATTTGGAAAATTCCATTTACAATTAAATTCTGCTGCTTTGCCTTTAAATTTACGTTTTTTGAGTCTTTCAGAAATATTGGTATTAATTTCTTTCAATACAGCCAACGTTTTATTAAAAAATTCTACTTAGGTGTGACAAATTCAAAAACCAAATAGTAGTTTAAACACACGCCTCAAGGTAATTGCCAATTTTTCCACTGATAAAATGGAATATTTTACTCCCTTTATTGGTAATTTTGTAAGTTCTAATTCAACTAACGATAGCAAAAAATCTAATTGTTCGTGGCTAATACGAAAAAACTCGAAATTTGACGTAATTTTCGAACAAATGTCCATTTATTAGAATTTTTAAATATCCTTCAACATCGTGGTTTAAAAATAAGGAATCAATTACTTTCTTTTTTTTTAAGCATAAAACATGAAAATAATAGTTCATTCTCTTCCAACTCATCTTCTAGTAAATTAAGATGTAATTTATTAATATTTAAAACGCACTCATTATTAAACATGTTGGTACGTCACTTATTGTACGTCACCCTAGACATCGACGTACTACTGACGAAATTCAAAACCTAATAGCTACGATTGGTCGTGCATTAGACACCGCACCTTATGGAAAATTATTTAAAATTATTCTATGCACATAATTTCAATAAATTAACTAATTATACATTTTTTCAATTATTCAAAGAAATGTAATCGATATAATATCCTATACATAACGACTTTATATAAAATTATTTTCATTTTTTTTTTTTTTTTTTAAAATCAACAATAAATTAATGTTTGTTTTTATGTCTGTGTAGGTGATTTCGACTAGAAGTATTGTTCCTAAATGCTGTATGTATGGTACATTTATGGGAGTCCTTTTACGAATTTCTTAATAATTTTCTTATTAATTGTGAAAAAGTGTTGTATATTTTTAAAAAACTACAACATTTACGACATTTTGTTTTCTGATAATATCAAATTTTTGTTTTTATCATAACTCAAAAAAAAAAATTTGTAGATAAATACAATTTTTACTGAAAGCTTATATGACCGTTTTCTATAGTTAAAATAAGTTTAAAATTAAATATTGAGCTATTTATACTATACATTCTATAAACAGTTGAAAATGTCATTATTTTTATATTAATAAAATAATTTTGGTTTGACAACAATTTTCAACATTTAATAAAAATTTCCTCAAAAATATCTTTTATTGATTGATAAAAAAAATTAAGCTTAATAAAAAAAAATATAAAATACGAACGTTCGAATATTAAATTTATTTTCCTTCAAAGATTTTTTTTTTATAGCAAAAAAGAAAAAAAATACTGAGTGGCAAAAAAGTTTAACATTAAGAGTTCAACGTATATTAAAAAAATGAAGTTCTGTAACTATATCAACCTTTTTTAGAAATATAAATTAATTTAACCGACCACTTTTATTCAGAATTGTTTTTTTGAGAGCAATGATACAAAAGTTTCAAATTTAAAAGACCAATACATCAATATCAATCAATCGCCCCTACACCGCATTTGACTGTAAAATCTCACTTGGCCTAGAAATTCCGTTCTTTTTTATTTTTAAATACATGAATAAAATATGACTAACAATAAGATGTTTTTTTTTAATTTTGTTTCAAATTTTAATTTAACTCTATCATCAAGTAGAAAATAATGTTTATAAAAATTTCAAATTATAAACACAAAATTTATAATAGTTCCAGTTCGTACTGATTTTTATGGATATTAAACGAAGGAAACAATTTAATAGCTTTACGGATAAACAGTTTCAATTATACAATCGATAAATTTATTTAATACTAACGATAACCCTAACCTCTAGTCAGTAGGTACTACAAAAACGACACAAGAACATCAAATGGTAATATAATTCCAATACCTTTATAATATAACCTTAATCTAAACATAAATACTTTTAAATCCACTAATATAATTCGAAGCAATAATATAAATTAATTTAAAATATGAACAGCCAATCCTCCGAAAACCTGTTAATTTATGTTCAACAATAACATAAAAATGTTGATTATTGCTATTGGAAATTATTTAAATCTGGTCATAAGTTTAAGAAATCTTATGCATTTTTAATTTTAAGACTGATAAGGAAAACGCACACCAGTAATTTTAACAAAATAAAGAGAATCACGTATTTTTTGAAAATATTAAGAAATTCGGTTACTAAATTTATGCTATTTAATTTTATAAGTTAAATTATATACAAAATATATATAGAAGATTAAATAAATATAATATTATTCTATTAAATATTATACGAAAAATATGTTGATTCATGCTCCTATTCATTGCTTAAATTTAATTATGTCTGTTAATCACAAATAAAAATTAATCGAACAAGTTAATTAAAAAAGGAAAAAATAGGTTGTTTTCATTAAAAAGTTAGTTAAATGTGTTAAAAATGGATTCGTAAAAAAGTTCCATGATTTACTTCGTACTATTTACGATCAATCCGATTTAAAACAAATATATTGCTTATTGCTAATTCGAAAGTTAATTAAAATTTAATACATTATGTAAGTTTAATATTGGTAAGAATCACGAGAACTGCTATAACAGTATAGTAATATAAGATGAAATATTACTCTAGGATTACTATTATAGCAATTATCATGCAGTTTTTCAAACATATTTTCCTTAAAATTACATAAGTATCAGTTATTTATTTCATATGTGCACACATATGAGTGTTATAAAATAGTTTCATACTCGAAAAATAAATAACCGATTAAATGCGCGAATATCACAAAGTCGTGGAAAATTTGCATGATAAAAAAAACCATACGTCATTCATAAAAAATATTATTTTATTGTTATAAATATATATACGTGAACATTTGTCCACCGTACACGGCATACTAACCTTATCAGCTTGCCGGAGACAATCGATACGTCGCATTTTTCCCTTCTGGTCGGGATTGGACAGAACGCACATGGCCGGTTTTTTGCCGGTTATACTCAGCACGAAATCTTCCCTGCACTCTTGAGTTATGTCTTTCCGAAGCTTTCCTAAAAGCCGAGACGCCCATTTCTGTTTCACCTCGGGTTTTTCGTTCTGCAACAATGCAAAAATCACGGAAATCCATTAAATTGTATAGATATACGCCGCAGCCGTCAGTACGCATTATCAATACGATGTATATATATATACAAATACGAGGGAGACCGACGATAAGTTTTCAGAACATTAAGCTTCTTTGTGGTAAAAAAAAAAAAACTAAAAAACTAAAATAACCTTAATATATTACGTGTGAGTATGTGTGCGAGTGTATACGCGCACGTGTGTAATCGATATGCAATAGCTATAAAAACATAAAATTGATAGCGAAAAATACAATAAATATACGTATATTTCATTACAATACCTAGATACATAATATACTACTGTTTTTAACAGTATTAGTATATCGTCTCTGGTTCAATGGGTAAATAATAAAGTATACAATAATACACACACAGTTTTTCGGAATACATCCATAAATCGTGCTCTGTTTTTCAGAGAGTCTTTCTCGCCTAGAGAAAGTAAATAAATATTCAGTAGCTCCCGTGTATTATAATATGTATTAAGTTAAAATAATTTTCCAAATACATTCGCGATACACGCATAAAACATTACGCGCATGCGATTAATAATTTAAATTATTATAATATAGATGTTCGTCCTCTTGTAAAACTGCCCGTACTGTACATGATATCATTACCATTTTTTTTATTCTAAAATAATCTAACGCGCGTCCAAGAATATTAAGTGTTTTTATATTTTTGTATCATTGCGCACTTGTTTTTCCCCACAAACATGAACCGAAACGTACGAGCAGCAGCAGATTAATATTAAATACCAAACACGTATGATAATAATAATATTATATACGTTTACGAATCGTCTGGGACGAAATTTCAAATTCAGAGTAAGTACACTGTTTTATAGAACATGTAATAATCATATCTATGTTATACACCACGTACTGTATGAGCGGGTGTAGGCAGCAGTTTATATTATGATTATTATTATTACACCGTCTCTGTAGACGCTCATTATGTTTGTTTTAATGAGTATATGCGCAAACGTATCGGCCTAGAATTATTAAACATTTTGTATAATTATTAAACGTACAAATATTTTAGCATGTAGAGTAGGTAAGTAATGAAGAGAAAAAAACCATCTATTTAAGCGAGTAATATTTCACCGTGTACGTATTTAATACGTACATTTTGATAGAGAAATAATAAAGACCGACACACCGATGATCATCGAACGATTCCAAACGGGGCATTGTGATACGAAAAAACACGCGTTGCATTTACGACGCAATGACGTAATAATGGATTTGAATCACATTTCGAAATCTAACGTTTCTTCCAAACGACGTGAAACTCGTTTGATTATGTTAATATTTTTCACTTACAATTAGGCGGCAAAGTCAAATTCGAATATATGTTACACACACACTGCCGAGTGCTAGTCAATTATATAGGTTTATATTATTTCGTCGATAAGATCTTGGGAAAGAGTTTTATACATTATACGCGCGTCGTCATCTCGCGCAGTATATATTGTTATTATATTGTCCGAGTTGTTATACGCGCGTACCTGTGTACATGTATACTATATGCAAATACATCACCACCAGAAAGTATATACATATATATATATTAACATTTATATAATACATTATTAAAATATGTCCACACACGGTGATGCGTGACAATAATATCGCGCCCACGGGTATCTTTATATGTACCGTATATACCACGTTGTACACAACACATCTCGTTATAACGGCACGAGGCGTGCATAAGAGTTTAATTAACAACAACCCTTGTCCTCCCAACAACCCTTAAAACAGATAAAACCCACATCAACTGTGGCGGCGACGCGTGCTCATGAGGATTTTATTAGGGTTGCTGCAATGTCTAGCCAAACAAACGTTCAAGACTAAAAATAAAAGTAAAACTTAAGTATACCTACTTAATTGTTCGCGTCATTAGTGGAACTTAATTTTCACTATATAATAATAATAATATAATAATGATAGCAATAATAATAACGATAAACGGTGAAGACGATGAAATAATTATTGTTGTTATTATAACATACTCTCAGGGAGGACGTACTATAGTTTTCACACGCACGTAAATGCAACGATTAATATGCAAATGACACTACAATATGCACAAGAAAATATTGAATTTCGTGACATAATATTATCGATAACCTTGAAAGACTGAATCGAAATGTTTGCAATCATTTGTTCAATGTGATTGTATAATAATATATTGTAAAACCATGGCAAATAGTTTCAAACCACCGAAATTATCAAAACGTAATCCAGAATTACTTATAAAAATAATGTGTCAAATATACGAATATTGTGATTACACCTGAATTATATATAAATAGTTATTCATTATAAACAACTTGTATCGTAAAATATAATATAAACGCGTGGGAATAAAGATAACACAGTAGTGGAATTATAAATCGCCCGTCAGGAACTGATTTCACGAGTGATTTTGCCACGATCGAAGAGGGAAGAAAACCCGCACACCCCTTTATATTATCTGGCTATTAGGCCAAATTGCTGTCAGGTATATGTATTAGTAACAGTAACCCTCGGGAACGGTCTTTTGACGGATATAACAAATTAGGGATGCCGTTTGTTAAGTCGTGCGCTCTTCCCACCGCCGTTTGGGGGTGAAAATAAAAACAATCATCCCTTTACAATCCCGCGAACACGTATATTACAGCCACCGATATAGTACATAGTATTAAAAAAATCCCCGAAAGTTTATGGCTTCCGAAACTGGAGATAAAATAAAAAAACCAACTGAAGTATACGACGACATTGTTGCGTGTTTCGACGGATTTCCGACATCAACTACTATCGTTACACGGACATTTATAAAGCCACTACAATATGCGGTCACGATTAAATTACCATGAGGGTGAGGGAGAAATTCAACTCGGGTAGACTCGGGCACGTTTTGATATTTAAATTAACCTTTTTGGTCGGATTTAATCTGTGTAATTAATGAGCACGTAACGCAATACTGTAAATGTCATCATTGTCATCATTGGCAGTGGCGGTGGCGGGGATGGGAAAATGTCAAATTGCATTTTAACGAACGGTTTGCTGTACGCAGTGACCCCGCAGTGGTTAAGTCGGAAAGTTCTTTGCAACTCCTTTATTATTCCGTCCGACGAAATAATAATAATAAAAAAAAAACAAATATACACCACGCGTAGGTTATTGTTTGTTTAGGTCACCGTAGACACGACACAGGATTTGATTGTTTCGTTGAAAAAAGGATCGATTCTTCCGAGATTCGTCCTAATACGAGACTGCACATACAATCTAATGTCCGGCACAGTGAACACTCCGAGACGAAACGTTTTGCCGCCACCGTATACATAAACGAACACAAAAGAAAGCTGATCCGGCACGTGTTTATTATTCACGCGGCGCGCGCGCGCGTTACGATGACGCGTAATATTATTATTACCATAAAGAAGGCAACGACAGACGACAAAAAAAGACGAATAGAGAGAAAAAATATATATACGAGTATAGGTGTACTTACACGCCACACTCGATTACGAATTCAATTCGGACACTACGTGTGTGCGTATGATGGACTTGTGAGCTCACGTCCGTGTAGTATGTACCGAGTTGCACTCACACGACTTAACAATATTTCGAATTATTATCACTCGGATCGGGTGTATAAAATTGTTTTGTTTTCGTGTTTATTCAAACGGACGACCGACACTGTATAATATACATTATTAAATTATATGCGTTGTCAACATTATTTATATGTACCGGGTCGAGCCGATGGAAGAGCAATACGAATATATTATTATTATTATACGCATGCTAACGAATATGAAAACAAAACAAATATGTTAACTTTTGAAATGCATACTACTTCTTTTTGTTTGCAGGTTTTGGCCAAGACATCGTATACACATAGAAGGGATCAACGAAGTTATTGCGACAAAATTCTATACGGCAGTTGATCTGCATGATATCGACTGGGTTGCAAAAAAATATTGTCATGAGTAGTGTTGGCCAACAATATCGATATCGTGAGTACATTTCTTATAATTTTGATATCGATATCTAAAAAAAATTTCAAAAAAATCGTGATATCGGGCCAATTAATCGGGGATTGGGATTATATGGACAATTAAACACTAAACTGAGTAAACAGTATAAAATTAAATTATATCTAGAAAATAAATACTAAAATATGATACGAAGCGATACGTTTCAAAAAAAATAGCTCACCACACCAAACAATTTAATTAAGCCCAAGTTTTGGAACATTGAAAGAAAAACTGCTTGAAGAAGAAATTAAATACATTGGATACTTTTTAGTTAATACAAAATAATTCATAATTGATAATTAATTTACACTCATAATATAATAATATAATATGTATTCTATACTTTTAATATGCGTCCAATAAATTAAATTATAAATAAATTTAAATCTATATCGATCGGATATTTTTCGAATAAATAAAAGCGATATCGATGATTAAAATTATATCGTTGGCCAACACTAATCATGAGTAAATGATTATTCTAACATACATTTTTGAAAATTCTTTATAATATTACACTTACGGTATGTTCGATATTTGACTATGAGTGTATGTATCAAAGTTAAAATGTAAATTACACATAGCTTATTTGAATGTAACTGTATATTTGTAAAGCTGGAAGAATATATTATATAATGAAATATATCACAATATACACGTTTGGCTGTATATTATTGTACAGGAAATTGCAATAAAATCGTTTAAAATTGTTAAGATACAAATCTCTTTTTGATTTACATATATATTGAACGTTTATTCAATCTGTGTACTCTCGAAACACAATGATCAAATGCGAGAGAGACTTAAAAGCACATGATGATTATTTGTGGAATGAGGTGTTCAATGAAATGAAATGTAACACTACTTCATGGATTCGAATCCAGACATATAGAGTAAGCAATACTTTTAATTAAATTGTATACGCATATATATCAAATAAACGC